TCAGCATCCGGGACTCTCTATCTCGGTTTCTCTGGGATTTTCATTCACGCGCTAGGAGAGGATTACGGAGATAAGAGAAACGGGAGATAAAGCGGAGTAAATTATATAAATGAGAAAGCGATGATGAGGCTGAGACGGCTGGAGGGCCAGAGGAAGGCCTACGGGGTCTAATAAGGCCTATTGGAGATGTCTCGTCGGGGCACATGGCGCGAGGGAGACACCAGATTTTTTTCTACGATGAACGGTGTTTAATGCTACTACACACGCACATACACGTACACGGTGATGCTGACGGAGGTGGTGATGATTGATGGTGGTGATGAATGGTGGTGGTGAATGATGATGATGATGATAGTGATGATAATAACGATGGTGATGATGATAAATGAGCTGCTGCTGATGGTGATGATGATAATAATAATGGTGATGATATGACGATGATAAAGATGATGTCAGCAACACCACCACAACATCAACAAACCGAAAGTCATCATTAAGTCGTATGATAATGGAAATCTGGCTTTGCGAGGATTTCAGGATTGGCCAATAATTCATGTTGTTGCTGCATGCTGATGAGGTGATTGTTTTGTCTTTGTATAAGAGGGGCGGGGGAGAGAGAGAGAGAGAGAGAGAGAGAGAGAGAGAGAGAGAGAGAGAGAGAGAGAGAGAGAGAGAGAGAGAGAGAGAGAGAGAGAGAGAAGAGAGAGGGGGGGGGAGGGAGAGAGAGAGAGAGAGGGAGAGAGAGAGAGAGAGGAGAGAGAGGGAGAGAGAGAGAGAGAGAGAAGAGAGAGAAGAAGAGAGAGAGAGAGAGAGAGAGAGAGAGAGAGAGAGAGAGAGAGAGAGAGAGAGAGAGAGAGAGAGAGAGAGGGGGGGAGGGAGAGAGAGAGAGAGAGAGGAGAGAGGGAGAGAGAGAGAGAGAGAGAGAGGGAGAGGAGAGAGAGAGAGAGACTGAGTGAGAAGAGAGAGAGAGAGAGGAGAGAGAGAAATAGAGAGAAAGAGACAAACATAGAACCCAGAATACAGAAAGTAAACAAGAATGAAAACAGGACCCCCACCCCCAAAAAGGGGAAAAACACCAACAGAAACTTCCTCAATAGATTCATCCGAGGAGTAGAAGTGTCCCATCAGCCTGCCGTTGTTTCAGAACTTGCTTTGGCGTGTTGGCAAGAGTCCTTTACCTGTGGCTTGGGCTTTTGGGTAGTGGTAGTTACCGTGTGGCGTGGGGCCTTTTTGGGCCCGGTAGTTACCGCCGTGTGGCGCGTGGGGCTTTGCGGGGGTAGTTACCAGCGTGGCAGCCGTGGCTTTTGGGAGGTAGTACCATGTGGCGTTACGGGCTTTTGGAGGTAGTGAACCGTATTGTGGCGTGGGCTTTTGGCCGGTAGTTAACCATGTGGCGTGGCTTTTGGGAGGTAGTTACCACTGTGGCGTGGGGCTCTTGGGGAAGGTAGTTACCGTGGTGGCGTGGCTTTTGGGACCGGTATTACGCGTGTTGGCGTGGGGCGACTTTTGGGACTGGTAGTTACCCTGTGGCGGGGGCCTTTGGGAGTTGACCCTGTGGCCTGTGGGGCCTTATAGCGGTGTAGTTACCCCGTGTGGCGTCTTTGGGGGCTCTTTGGAAGTGTATAGTTTACCCTCCTTGTTGGCGTGGCGGCTTTTAGGGGGTAGTGTGGACCCTGCTGGCTCTTCGTGGGGCTTTTAGGGTAAGTTACCCTGTGGTTTCGTGGTGGCTTTCAGGGGTAGTTACCCTGTGGCGTGGGGCTAGTTTACGTGAAGCGGTAGTTTACCCTGTTGGCGTTGGGTAGGTGCTTTTAGGCGGTAGTTACCGGCTTTCATCCTGTGGCGTGGGGGCCTTTTAGGGGCGGTAGTTACCCTAGTGGCGGTTCTGGACGTGGGCGCTCTCTGGTTGTTGTGTTTAGCGGCGACCGGGGATTAGTTAACTCCTTGTGGCCGTTTCCGGGGCTGTTGCGCGATACACCCAGAGCCGCCGTCAAGGATGGTATACTCCGGTTTCAGCCAGAGTGTACTTAGGAGTGGTTCAGCGGGGGCTCTTTAGGCCGGCGTTGCTAAATGTTACCGCTGTGGCGCCGTGGGGCTGTTTTATAAGGGGATTTCAGTTACCGTGTGTGCGCGTGTGGGGCTTTTGGGCGGTAGTTTACCCTGACGGCGTGGGGCTTTTAGGGGTAGTTACCCTGTGGCGTGGGGCTTTTGGGGGTAGTTACCGCTTCGTGGCGTAGCTTGGGGGCTTATTTAGGGCGATTGGACAGAGGTCTATAGGTGACCCTGTGGACACAGCGGCACGGGTTGCAAACCATATTCTTCCAGCGTGTCGGCTCGCTTTTAGGGTCGCGCTGCCTCTGTGCGTGCGTTTTACAGTACCCGTGTGGACGTCGTCTGGACTTTAGTGATCAATGTTTACCGCTTAGCTGCTCCTGTTGGCGGTCCGCTTTTAGGCTTATCCATGGCTTATGTTACCGGTGTTGAACTGATGTGGGCGTGGGGCTTTTAGCTCAGGCGGTTACATTACCGTTATTTGTGGTCCGTCGGGCTTTTAGGCCGCTTTGGTCGAAAAATGCAGTGTATGGTAGTTACTCTTTTTGATGCCTGTATGCCGCGTGCGGAAAACAGTGGGGGGGCTTTAGGGTAACGTTACCCATGGGTGGCGTCTGCGCGGGGCTTTAGGGGTAGTTTTACCCTTGGATCGTGGCGGCCTATTTAGGGGTAGTTACCGTGTGGCGTGGGGCTTTTAGGGGTAGTTACCGTGTGGCGTGGGGCTTTTGGGGGTAGTTACCGTGTGGCGTGGGGCTTTTGGGGGTAGTTTACCCTGATGGCGTGGGGCTTTTAGGGGTAGTTTACAGTGTGGCGGGGGTGTGCGAGGTAGCTGTTGTTTAATCTCCGCGGGGTTTACAGGCTGTGTCAACAACGCCTCCCTCGTTTGAATAAATGAAAACGAATCGAACGCTGCGATTTCCTGTTTGCTGGTGAGAGAGAGAGAGAGAGAGAGACAGAGAGAGAGAGAGAGAGGAGAGAGAGAAGAGAGGAGAGGGGAGAGAGAGAGGAGAGAGAGGAGAGACGAGAGGAGAGGGAGTAGGGAGAGGGAGAGGGGAACCGAGAGAGAGGGAGGGAGGGAGTGCGGGAGGGAAGGAGGGAGGAGGGAGGGAGGGGAGGAAGGGAGAGGGAGAGAGAGTAATGTATGTGAGAGATAGAGATAAAATGAGAGAAAGAGATAGACAGATTGACAGCGAGACAGAGAGTAAAATGAGAAACCACTCACAAATCTATTCTTCCATTAATGTGAATCTTTTTTTTTTTTGGCAGATGACAGTTCAATTATGAATTTTTATTATCCTTCCAAATCCTCTTAACCTTTCCATCCCCGTGCCGCCTTTAGTCCGCGCTTCATTATATTCGAAAATCATAAAAGGTAACAGATTTACAGATAAAAAAGGAGAGCAATTTGATTCTCTCTTTCCCCCCTTTCTCTCTCTCTCTCTATCTCTGCCCTCTTTATCTCTTTTTTTCTCTCTCTCTCTCTCTCTCTCATTTCCTTTCTCTGTCTATCTATCTATTTAGATACCTCTCATCTACCTATCTATATATCTATCCATATGAACATCAACCTACCTACCACCAATCCATTCACAGAAAACAAAGACAAGGGAAAGACAAAAAAAAAAAAAAAAAAATATTCTCCCCCCCAAACCACCCTACCCCCACCCCCCCTCCGCCCCACACACAGAAAAAAGAGAGGAAAGCTTGAAATAGGCAATTGAAAGAAGGCGTGTTCCTCCGTGGAGTAGCGGAAAGGAATCCCAAGTCATTTTCCAGCTGGCCGCTAAACGAAATGCAGGAACACGGCGTTTAAAGGGAAAGGGGGAGAGAGAGAGAGCACACACACATACAGTCACACTCTTGGTGTTTTTCTTTTTCTTTTGGGCGTTTCTGATTTGTCGTTTTTTCCGTTATTACTGTTGTTGTTTTGATAAGTCCCTTATTGTTATTATTATAATCACTATCATGATGATTATTACTATGACCATTGTCATTATCATTATCATTAGTAGTATTATCATAATCATTATTATCCATCATCATTATTATTTGTCGTTTATTATCATCATCATTTTCATTATTAACATATTATATATATATATATATATATATATATATATATATATATATATATATATTATATATATATATATATGTATATGTATATGTATATATATGTATATATATCTATATATATAATATATATATATATATATTATATATATATATTATATATTATATACATATATATATATATATATATATATATATATATATTATATATATATGTGGTGTGTGTGTGTGGTGTGTGTGTGTGTGTGTGTGTGTGTGTGTGTGTGTGTGTGTGTGTGTGGTGTGTGTGTGTGTGTGTGTGTGTGTGTGTGTGTATGTGTATGTGTATGTGTGTATACATACAACACAACAAACACACATATATATATATATATATATATATATATATATATATATATATATATTATATATATGTGTGTGTGTGTGTGTGTGTGTGTTGTGTGTGTGTGTGTGTGTGTGTGTGTGTGTGTGTGTGTGTATGTATGTATGTATGTATGTATGTATGTATATATATATATATATATATATATATATATATATATATATATATATTATATATATATGTACATATATATATATATATATATAATTCGAACGCGGCAGCCTACAGAAATAGAATAACTACTTCCTACAGAAACTAGGAAGTAGTTATTTGTTCTTTTTACCGTGAACTGGTGGTGTTGTGATTGACATTTCAGGGATATGTCCTTTGGATACTCATCAATAAGTAGTATCCTTATTTATGAAAATATTACTCAAGTAATATCCCTCCACCTTTTGGCTCCTAAAACCAACGTCAGGTATTCGAATAATAAAGAAATGACAAAAAATGACAAGTGAAAAAAAGAACAATAATAAAAACCAGACGTAACACTCACCCGTTTTAACCTGGTACTTGAGAGCATCCTTGCAGTCGACGAGGAGCTGGTCAAGGTTCAAGCTCTGAGCGGGGATTTCGAGGTCGAGCACTTCCTTGAGCTGCTCGGGCTGGTGGAAGTCGAGGATCTTCGAGTTGCGGTCGAACGTCTGTTTCACGAAGTCGATGGAGAGCTCGGCCACCTGGGCGAGGAACTCCCTTGTCTCCGGCCCCGCGGTGACCGTGAAGGGAAGGAGGTCTGCAAGGCAAAAGACGGGAGTTAATGGTTTGCAGTGGGTGCAGTGAGCGGTAAAGAAGCTAGAAGTCTGGAAGTCAAAGGGTGGGAGGGAGTCAGTGGCTTGTAGTGTGTGCAGTAATGGGTAAAGGAAGATGGAAGTCTGCAAGCCAAAGGGCGGGAGGGAGTTAGTGGTTTGCAGTGAGGGGTAAAGGAAGCTAGAAGTCTGGAAGCCAAAGGGTTGGAACGAGTTCATGGTTTGTAGTGGGTGAAGGTCTGCAAGCTAAAAGGCGGGTGGGACTTAGCAGTGTGGAGTGGAGAAGTAAGCGGCAATGGAAACTGGAAGTCTGCAAGCCAAAGGGCGGGAGGAAGTTAGCGGTGGGTGGAGGAGGTTTGACAGCTAAATGGAAGGAGGGAAGCAATGGTCTGTAGTGGGTAAGGTAAGCGGTATTAGGAGTGCGGTTAACGGAACGAGAGAATACAGAGAGTGATGGTGTAGTGAAGAGGACACCAAAGGAGGGAATGGAGTAAGTGGTGTAGTGAGGAAATAAGCGATAAGGGTGAAATTAACGAAACCAGGGATTGTTGGCAGAGATGTGGTGAAAAAAGTGATAGTATTGAAAGAACCAAACGGATGAAATGCAAGAGGCGATAAAGTGGTGAAATAAGTCAACGAGGAGAAAACAATAAGACAAAGGGATATAATAAGAAATAAAGTGATGATATGCAAAATATGGGGGGAAATCGGTCAGCAGATAAAAATAAGCCTACATGAAAATTAATTCTTAGAAACAAAAGGAGTTGGAATAGGGAATGTTATAATCTCCCATAAATAGATATTTACAAAAAATGGAACATTAATGAATGAGAAAATAAATGTCTGTAACTATTTTCGAACATTAACGTTTCTCCACACTCACCAACACCACGATTTAACATCCAAAAATACGAGTTGCGTCACCACTAAATTTACAACCATGAACACCACTTCACGCTGCGTTTTCCATGTAAAAGAAAGAAAGAAACAGAACAGAAAGTACCCTCAATGTTTGTTTGGAAAAAAAGGTGAAAAGTGCCTGGCCAAAATCTCGTCCGGTGTCACGTGTCTGCTCCCAGAACCCGTGTTTACCTCCGGATTATCGACTTGTCCGGATTCCTCAACATGACTCCGACTTCTGCTTTATTTGCAGGGTGTTTTTCCCGTTTTTCTATTTTTTCATAATTCAAGCAGACTATTGCGCTATGTAATATTTTTTTGTTTGAATTTGAAATCGATTTCAGAGCAAAAATATACAATTTTGACAAATCTTAAATAAAATGCATCAGTAACAGCTCCAAAAAAATATACAAATTTCAGTCTTCACCAACCGCCGTAATTTATGATCGACTTCCTAGGAAAAAGTGTCTGCGGACTTCACTTTTTTCAGACCCGTAACATTTTAGTATTTTACGCGAAATAAAGCTTCAAAGAACGAGAAAGATAACACTGAAATTAACATCCTTTACGAAGGAAATCTATACGCGCACTAGCTACTTTTTCCTCAAATATTCAATCATAAGAAGGAAAATAAGGCAGAAAATTGATAGATACAATAATAATTAAATAGAAATACAGACAAATAAATAAATAATAGATATAGACTAAAAAACGCCTAATTGGACCAACCTCAGGCTATCAATGCCCTTGTCACCTTTACAAATCCCCCCCCCCCCTACCACCTCCTTCTGGGGATCAAGCGAGGCTCTTGAAAGAAAATATCCAACAAAAGCATGGACGATCCATCATGACGGGATAACGGGAGCGAGAAGGGAGGAGGAGGAGGAGAGAGGTAAGGGTAAGAAGAGGGAGAGGGCGTATATATATGTGTGTGTTTATATATATATATATATATATATATATATATATATATATATATATATATATATATATGCACACACACACACACACACACACACACACACACACACACACACACACACACACACACACACACACACACACACACACACACACACACTCATAACACACACACACACACACACATAGATAGATGAATAGACAGATAGATTAACCGAGGGATAAGAGGAGGCAGAGAGAGAGAAAGGAAACGGATCGGAAGGGACATAAAAATCTTTCCTGACGGCAAATCCGTAGACAGGAATTCTTCAGGGACAGCAAATCCTTCTCAGCTTAAAATCCTCCATCTACTGTGGGAACTTGATGGAGCAGAGGGAGGGAAGGAGGAGAAATGGGGGGGGGGAAGGAAGGAGGGAGGGAGGGAGGGAGGGAGGGAGGGAGAGAGGGAGAGAGGGAGGAGGGAGGGAGGGAGAGGACATGTCATGAGATGAAAGAGAAGTGTCAGTCCTAAGACAGTGTCGGTGAAAGGGATGCTGACGAATTAGAGTAACGATGATGTTGATTATAGAGTATTTAATATTATCATTAGTATTAGTATTGGTACGAGTCTTATTACTATTATTATTATATTATTATTATTATTATTGTTGTTATTATTAACATTAT